TGCTAAAARACTCTTCATYWGATGTTATATCGTTTTCAATTGAAARTGAATCAAATGAAGGTCGCAGGTTCAAGTCCTGCCGAAAGCAGTAAATTTTTCTTATTCCAAAAATTATTTGTCCGCTTAAGCCGCGAAAAATCCCTTTCAATTAATCATCAAGTTGTCTGCTTTATCTGTGCAATGATAGCGAATGGCTGTATACCTAAATAGCTTCCGCATCCAACACACAGAGAGATGAACATTTAAAAAAATTTAAATATGCTAATTTAAAACAGTTAGGTAAAGACAAAATCTCTGAGTAAACTTGAATGGTTTTATTGGGTCAGCGCAATAAGTTCAAAGGAAAACTCTTGTGATGGGACCCCTGATCTACGACTTTTGCCATAAATTTTAGAAAATTTTACACTGTCCACTTTGCTTACTGGGTCCGGTACCTGCAGGCCTAAATTACACAACAAAAATATTCAATTGTTACATAATGGAAAAAATGTAATGTTCAGCGAATGGGCAAAAGAACAACGCACTAAAATCGCCCATTAGCACGAATTTTAAGGAGAAAATTGGCCATCCAATTTATTACCCAATGTGAACTTTCTTTGCGATTGCACATGCCGCATTATTTGGTTCTTCAGCCGGTTATCAAAGTGATAAAGCTTTGAACAAGCCAACAAAGTGCGGCTGTTGCATAACACCTAAAGCTGTTGAAATCATCGAGAATTTGGCCCAAAGAAAAATGAAAAAAACATCCTCATGAATACCAAAAAAAACGTGTTTCTCACATTCACTAAATCTAACATGTAAATCAGCGGCCGAGAAAGCGAGAACCATTGCGAAAGATCCGTCCGAACCAAAATAAAAACAACTTTTATTTTTATTCCCCTTGCCAACAATGAGCCGATTTAGTCGCCCATCCGCTAACGAAGGATTATTCATTATTTTCCAAAAAACTATGAAAATTAGCATGCAATTGCAAATTGAAAGCAGTCACTTTTCAACGGTTTTCAGAACAACCATGCAAAGGCCAATTATTGTCGGGTTCACGGTCGATAGTTACTTATTTGATCGGAGAAAGTTAACACGCCTGTTACATCTCTTCCATTTGTTGATCTATAACTATTTTAATAGTTGCTTATTATAAGCCATTCGTTTGCACATGGAAAATGCAAAGTTATGCGGAAAGAGGCCCCATTGTTAGGAAAACATCCGACAATGCGCGATTAGCGTTTCGTCAAATTGCACAATTAATTGGGAATATTCCCATATATTGATCGGACGATTTCCAAATTATTTTCTCCAATTTCGTCATCTGGTCACATGCAATTTTCTAAATTCACCGATTTCGGTGAAAGTCCCCGATTTACATAAGCGCATCTCAATAACGGTGACATAAGCGTTTTCATGCTTAATCATGTTGCTAATCCTTTAGGAAAATGGAAACATCTTGAGTTTATTTTCGTTTCGTCCCGTCGCTCATCAGGGCGGTTTTAATGATTACACATATTTCCGCTGAAATTCGGCCCAGTATGGACTGGATTTCCTGAGGATGCCGACATTAACTAGGCAAAACGTCGGCAATTAAAAATAAAAAGTCAAGCAACTGTCGCGGTTTCTATATGGGGATTTATAGCGATGTACAATTTACGGCCTGTTTTCACATCGATCCAAATCCAGTTATAGAAATCGATTGAAAAACGCCGTAAAAGTGGTTAAATATTTTTTTTATTCGAATGAATCAGAAAGTGCCATTTTGCGAACAGAGGCGATGATAAAAAAGAAGCACTTTTCTTTAGCGTTCATTTGTTTTACTTTTACGCACGGACTTTGCCGCACAGTGTGCGACAAAGTAAATGTGACACTTTGAACTTGCCACTGTCATTATATATTTTTTAGTATTTTTATTTAAAAATAACCGAAACGCTTTTTTAAGGAATTACGTAGGTTTATCAACAACTATTGATCCTATTTTCAAGTTTACTTACAATTTGTAAATTATACCTTTGTTACAAGTTCAGTCTCATAATCGTTTTAATGCCCTACTTATCTACTTTTGCGATGTTGTCACACGTAAAACACGATCTTTTTAAGAAGCGCAAATGTCATGCAGAGTATGCAACATGCATACACCATCCCAAGACCACAGGTGTTTCACGTTGAAAAAGTACTTAAACTTAATTACAAACTTCAAAACATGACATTTCAAAAAATGACGTTGCCACAAAATTTTAAATATGAAATCGATGCATTTTATTATTCGTGTAATCTTTCATTCGAATAAAAAATAGTGTTCGATACGAGGGCGAAAATTAGTTTTTCGAAAACTACTATTTTAATTGGCGACGTTTCACCGTTTGTTTTGGCCTGCGAATGTCCAAAATAATTCTGATAAAACGTCGACAATTTTAGAAAAATCAACTCGCTTTGCGGTATTTTTCAATCGCTTTGCCCAATTTTTTTCGGGCATACCAATGATCATTTCCATAGGTTTATGCCTCTAGAAAACTCAAGATTTTTTTGAGGTTTGCTCAATGCAGCACCACTCTGAAGATGCTCATCAGGAAAAAGCTCTTTTTAGTTGGAGCGCAAAAACCTCCAAGATTTGCTACAAAAAAACCCAGAAATTGCAAAATTCGACCCAGACCATCAAAGTAGAACCAGTTGCAATTATACGGCTGGTTTTCTTCAATTGCATGCAGAGCGAAATTTGAGAGTGTGCTTTTCCGCTTGACTAGTAGAACAAGCTTTTTACATGCGTTTTTCGGCAGGATTGTTTTCTACAAGCACACGCCATAGATTGTAATTTATCAGGCAATTTCCCCAGGAACACTATATTTTAAGCCCGACGCGATTTTTTCTTAGATACCAATAATTATGTGGATTTCTCTTTAAAATTGGCCGGCAATTATCGATTAGGCGACGTAACTAAGTATGGCAATTTGGTTAGTTAATGCCTAATTCCTTCCTTGGCTGGTGCATGGAATTGGCCCATCCATTGAGCAATTTTCTCCATTTGCGGCAGTAATAAAAAAACCTGAAAAGTCGGTTTGGACATTTCCAGATCTCTATTCTGCTGGTGTGTACGTGCGCAATAATTTCCATTCAAACGGCCCACGGATCGCCCGTAAAACCCCCAATTTACCCACTTAATCTCGAGGACTTATCCAATGGCGACGAAGCAAAGGAGCTGGAGGATTGGAACAACTATAACCACAGGTAACTAACGACGCCGAAAAGTTCTTGTTGTTGCTTCCTGGCACAGCCCATCGCTGCACAATTTCCCCATGTAATACTGGGGCGAATCGCCCCCAAAAAATCAGTTTCAGGCCTAAACGCACTATTGAACCTCTGCTCGGATCAGCTGGTGCAATTATTCAATTTAAAACTGCCGCTATATCGGGTGCGAAAAAAACCATTATCGAAATCGCTCGCGGATCCTTCGGGTCCCTAGCGGGAGCTTCCGCAGGAGTCACAAACGCGGCTGCAGGCTCTGCCGGTGGCATTCAGCAGCTCAAATCAGCTCTAAGCTCACACATCCAGAAAAAAATCGCCCAAACCACCCTTGGGGCAGCCTCCGGATCGGCCAAGGCAATAAACCAACTAAAATCAGCCGCCCTTAACGGTGCGGTGAGTTCCGTTGCGGGCTTAAGCCAAAACTCACTCGGAGGCTCCGCCAAAGGCTTCCAGCAGCTGAAAAGCGCCGCCCTTAACAGCATCGCCAGCCAAATCAACCAACTAGTTCAAGGCTCGTCCAATGGCTTAAGCTCAGCCAAGGCAGGAGTTTCCATTAAAATCGGCCAACTAGCCAAAGCTTCCGCAGGAGCAGCCTCATCAGCGTCGGCAGGCGCACAAAGCCTCAAGCAAGGGGCGAAATCAGCAGTCAGCAACAAGATCAGCCAGATTGCCGGCGCTTCAGCCAGTTTGGCCACTGGGGCTTCCTCAGGCCTCCAATCCAAAGTGAGCCAAGTTTCCCAGGACATCGCTGTGGGCGGAGCCGATGTGGCCGACCAGCTGCGCTCAGCTATAGCAGCTGGAACTGAGAAGAAACTAGGCCAGGCAGCCAGCGGTTTAACTGGCGCGTTAACAGCTGCAGTCGGCTCAGCTTCTGCAGGCGTCGGCCAGATCACCAGGGGCGTCTTCACCGAATCCAGCAACTTAATCAATCAACTCAAATCCAGGCTCCTGCAGGAAACCCTGGGCAAGTTGAGCCACGCGTCGCAAGCCTCCTCCGCCGCCAGTGGCCAAACGATCAAAACCCTACAATCAGCAGTAGAAGCCTCTTCCAATGCGGCCAATCGGCTGAAATCTTCACTCCTCAACCAAATCGCCGCCTCCAGCGGCCAAGCCTCCAAAACAGCCCCTTCAGCTCTATCCGGCTCAGCCGGGGCAATCAACCAGCTGAAGAATGCCGCCCTCTCTCACCTCACCAGCAACATCGGGCAAATCGCGCTTGGCTCCGCCAGCGCCGCCTCTGGGGCCTCCAACTCCACCCACAGCCTGAAGAACGCTCTAGTGGGGCAAATTTCCAGCAAAATCAGCCAAACTTTGCGCAGCTCTACCAGAGGCACCAGATCAGCCCTGACAGGATCAGCCAGCGCCATTCAACAGCTGAAATCTGCAGCTTTCTCTATGCTGACTGGGGCTAGTGGGCAGGCTTCTAGAGGAGCTGGATCAGCAGTGACTGGATCAGCCAGCGCCGTTCAACAGCTAAAGAGTGCGGCTCTTTCGCAACTAGCTGGAGGAATCGGGCAAGCCTTGCGAGGCTCTGCCTCAGCTGCAACTGGGGCTAGCGGGCACCTTTCAAGAGGCGCTGGATCTGCAGTGTCTGGATCAGCCAGCGCCGTTCAACAGCTCAAGAGTGCCGCTCTTTCGCAACTAGCCGGCGGAATCGGGCAAGTCTTGCGAGGCTCTGCCTCAGCTGCAAGTGGGGCTAGTGGGCAAGCCTCCAAAGGGGCTGCATCTGCAGTTTCTGGATCATCCAACGCTATTCAGCAGCTGAAAAGTGCCGCGCTATCGCAACTAGTTGGGGGATTGGGGCAAGTTCTGCGCGGTTCTTCATCGGCGGCAACTGGAGCTATTGGGCAGGCTTCCAGCGGGTCAATGGCCGCCCTATCGGGATCAGCTAACGGGATAAATCAGCTAAAATCCGCAGTGCTTTCGCACTTGGCCAGCAAAGCTGCTAACGCCTCTCGTATGGCCGTTGGAGGAGTGGCCGGGTCGAGCGGGCAGCTCTCCCAAGGAGCAGGATCAGCTGCAACTGGATCAGCTAGAGCTGTCCAGCAGCTGAAATCAGCTGCAGTGGCCAGCGTTCAGAACAAGGTGAGCCAAGTGGCTGGCGGTGTGGCCAATGCGAGTAGAGGAGCGGTTGGAGGTGTGGGAGCTACGATTGCTGGATCAGCGCGAGCTGTTCAGCAGCTGAAAGGGGCCCTGGTGGAAGGAATTCAGCAGCAGATCTCGAATCTGGCTGAAGCTTCGGCTGGGGATCGCAGGAAAAGAAGCGCTGATGGGTCGCTGACTGGCAGCCAGCACGGAAATTTAGATGAAGTAGACCAAGATTTGTATGAACTTATTACTTCTGCTGCATCATGCTTACTAAGCTTCAGGGCGAGTTTGACCACTAACTTTACCTTAAGGGTTGCATAAGGTCGAATAAATGGACTGACGTGACATTAGCCGATACAGAACTGATGCGTTATTGAACAATTGCCCGAATTTGCTGCCGAAGATTCTCGTTTCTGTTGCAGTGACTTGATATTTATGTCTTTATCTGTAGTACATAACGTGACCGATACTTTGACCAGGACTGTGGAAAAGTAGCTGGTCGCATTCACCCATTTTTCTATTTAATTTGGAGGACTTTCCAGGGCAATGTCATGCGAGCAACTATTTTTTCTGCAGCTGGTAACCATTACTTTAACTTTCTTCGGCATGCTGACCTCTACTGAACGATTCGGGCTCATTTTCCGGCTGGTTTTAGTCAACTCGAAAGGCATCAGGGCAAACTGACCAACAAAGCTTTGGATACTTATTAACCAAAGATTATACAAGGTGTCTGAGAAAAAATTCACACTTTACCCACATTCAGGGTGGCAAAGCTTCGCTTTGCGATCCCCATTTCGTCAAAAATCTCAATCAATCAACATGTTGGATTTGCTTTGAGACACCATGTATGCAGGATTTTGGCTTTTTAATATAAACTATCCGAAATAACGACAGAATGCTGTTTCAACAACTACACATGCTTTTGGGGCGACCGAATAATTCTTCTCTGTTACTGTAAAATAAAAATTGATCACCCTGTAGCTTTCGGATATTTTCACGATGCTCAACGACATTTTCAGCTTCTTAATATCCATACAGGGTGGCCCGATAAACTGCTTTTCCATCTGCTACATCAAATAATCCATTTTTGCATCACATGAAATCGTCCATTTCTAACTGGAGTTTTTAAGGCACTCAAAGTGAAGGAAGGGGAAACTGAATGAAAGTTACATCAAGTAGAAGAGGGTTTTTTGTTGAAGGAACATATAAATTTCTAACTGCTCTGGTTTGAACGGGAGGAATTTTTGAAAGTCTTTCTGCTTGCCAATTTTTCTGTTGGATTATCAAATGAAAGTTTGTGAATTTCCGAAAAATCCTTCAACCGCCCGATTCACTTCAGATTTGTAGCATTTTAACGCTCAGATGTCTTCTATCAACAACCGAAAATGCAAGGTTTTGACTGCTAAAGTTTGGAGCTGAGGGATTTTTGAAAGCCACTTTCCCTGCGGGAGGGCGCTGGGAGGAATCAAATGAAAGTTTGTTAATTTCTGAAAAATCACTCGAAGGCTGATTTTATATGAAATTTTCCACAGCATAACACAGAAAAGTGTGTCTTATCGAAGATGAAGCCAGGGGCGGATCCAGCTTTAAAGTCAGGGGGGGGGAGGTTATGTAGAAAAAATACAGTCTTCTGTTATCTATGAAATTAGAAAAATTATCGTCGTTTTGTGCAAGGGTGGCGCAAGATTATTGCAAAATTT